CGAAGTCTATTGCAACAACACCTACTTTTTACGGTTCTATTTTGTTTTAGTATTCTTTTACAAAGTCTAAGTAAATAATGGACAGAATTTTTTTTTTGACTACTATCAATTTTTTTCTTTCAGCTTCCATCAGCCATGTCTTCATCTTCATGCAAAAGTGTAACATCAAATCGAAATATTTCTTTTCTATAGTTATCACAGCTTCTATGAACATAATTTTGGTCTCTTTTGAAAAGTCTAGTAAATAATGGACATAATTAAGACTGCAACGAATTTTGACTTTTATTCATTGTATCGATAGGTGGATTCAAGATAAATGTAACAAAATGCCACCTTCCATTGGGTATGAAAACAAATGTCATTGTATGCAAAAAATAGTACCTGATTGTGACACATTTTTAACACTTAAATATTGGTAATTGTCACAACCGCGTGTTTCAGAGCACTCACCGCGGTCTGATGACTCCCATGGCTTTATTTCCCAGTCAAGTCATTCCGGTAGCGGTGGTACAGTACCTTCAATAAACGCTATTTCTATAGCTAATTCGATGGTGCCACTTAAAAAAGTTACAAAAGAAAGTCGATGGATATCAGTGCATGATGGACGACCGGTCAGCCCTTACGTTAGAACTGTCACATATGTCCCCAAATATTCTGATCAGGAATATGTTCTGAATACATGCAACAACAGAAGTTATCATTGTAATGACGGATACAACCTACAACCAAAGTGAGTTCGTAACGTAAGTAATCCAAGGCAGACAGCACTGCTTTGATAATTATGCTATTTACACTTCTATTCTATTGATTAAACTTGATCAAACTTTTGGATTTATGAATTACCTTTTGAATAGTTATATATCTGAAATGAATAAAAAAAGTTTTTAATAAAAGTTGAGTCATTTCTGGGGTTCTCTTATTTGAACCGCAATAATATTTTAAGACAAGTAACCTACAAGGACGAAAGATATTCATCAAAAGCTAATGCCGCTATCAGAACAACCATTTCGTGTGATCCGTGTTCTGTTTTTGTTGAAAATCCATTGTACAGAGATTAATTTACTTTCTTCTTATTAATTCACATTAATCTTTGAAATGTGTTACTATAAAATATTAGTATGATCTGGAATTCGAATTTTCGCATTTTCTTTTGCAATAAATTTGATTCTTTTCAAGCAGTATTTTGATAAGTGTTATATTTGTCTTCTATCCTTTAAATCCTTTGCCTCTGGCATCTCTGTCTTGCTACTTATATTTCCATAGTTATTACTGACAGTTTGAGAAATTTATGTATACGCGGCCATCAAAAAATTTTCATTTAAATTTTCGATAGATTTGTCATTGGTAAATCTTTTGTAAAAAATGCCAATGTTATTAATAAATTATTATTTAAAATGCAATCAAACGAAATTATCAACGTTTAAAATGAGACTTTCACTTTTTGACCAATTCGTTTGATAATTTGCGTGTTTTATGAAAATTTACATTATATGTTGGATACAGAAAAAAAGCTGTATTCTAAATGTGTGATGTCGCAATATTTTCTCCTGTAAGAAAATTTAAAAACTTTTCTCATAATATTAGGATTAGTTATGATCAGCCTTTATTACTAGAGCAGCCTTATATTTTGTTTATTTATGTAAAAACCTTCGCAAAAGCACCAAGGAAATTTCATTCAAGTGTTTTGGATTAATGCAAATTTTTAAAAAATCCTTAATTTTCAGGTCAATTTTGTGAAAATTTAAGGTTTTTGCCAATTTTGGTCAATACTTTTTAGATCTAATATATTTGTTATTGTCAAAAATCATTGATTACGTTGCGCACTAAAGAACATACCAAAAAAAAAAAATTTCATTCAAGTGTTTTAGATTAATGTGAACTTTTAAATCTTAACTTTTAGGCTATTTTGGTGCAGTATATGACATGGTTTTTGCCAATTTCAATCACTTTTAAATATGTCTAATATTTTTATTACTTTGAAAAATCACTGATCACGTTGCGCACTAACGGATGCATGGAAAAAATTTCTTTCAAGTGATTTGAATTAATGTGAATTTTTAAAAAAACCATTTTTAAGTTAACTTCGAAAAATTTAAAGTTTTTGCCAATTTTGATCAATCTTTTTCATATCTGATATATTTATTGTCAAAAATCACTGATCACGTTGCGTACTAGCGGACACACCAGGAAAATTTCATCCAAGTATTTTGGATTGATGTGCATTTTTAAAAAAGACCTTAATTTTTAAGCCAATTTTGATCAGTGTGTTATCGATCTGATATATTGATTACTATCAAAAAATCACTGATCATGTTGCGCATTAACAAATATCAAGGATAGATGTGTGAGTTCTTTTTGAATAGTTCCAGAAAGAGGACATTGTATTCAGCACTTGATTTGATCCATTGATCACCACTTTCACGTAAGGAAGTATCTGTTGCTTGTGCGAACATGTCAATCAGTTCATCCCAACTATGTAATTCCATATTCAAACATTTATGAAACAAATGAGACCAAAGGTGATACATGGACCAATTCCTGTAAAGGATAAATTTAATGGCACAAATTCCACGCTTATAAATGCTGCAGGTGATTGTGCTGATAAGCCTAACACATATAACCTACCAAAATAGATGTCTCTCAAAGTACGGCTTTGGTGGCTCATCCTCATCTGCTGAATCTGAGAGACCAAACAAATTTTTTACAAATTGTTTAAAAATATGCGAATTATTTCATGTATTAAAAGCGTTTTAAAATTGCACAGTTTAATCGTCGGCTTCAGAACTTTTGTCCTTATTATGAAGCAGTAATTTCCGTTAGGTACATAGAAGGAACTCAGCTTCAGACCATTTTGTATTTCAAAGAACTTGAATATTTGTGATTTTGAAGAATTCAAAATTGAAAACCTTTTTAAATTTAACAAAGGAATATAGCGTCCATTTTTGCATCGTAAATAGCGTAGTGTCCGATTACAAATTAGTTCATTTGTAATATTTGCAAGACCCATTCTATCAATTTCATAATTCCAAGATTCACACATCTGAATTAAGGAAACCTTTAAACTTAATCATGGAATATTTAATCTTAAAATCATATTTCCTGCTTTAATCATGTGATAAATCATGATTTCTACAATCTTATCATTTTCAAGAACGATTTTAATTATCTTTTTATTCCACATTCCCTTATGTTCTTCAACTTCTACCCACAATGTTAGGTTTCACTAAAAGAAGTGAGATCTATATAAGCCAAGTTCCCAAGAATAATTAATCTTACTACAACAGATTAATTATTAAATATTATTAAATAAACATATGAAAGTAATTGTTCAAAATAGTGCTTGTAATTTTGCTATCTTAACAGTTAAAGAAAAAAACAGTGTTTAGATATAATTCGCAGTATTGAATAGTGGACAGAATATCTTGGTGAAAAGGTGCCGATGAAGAAGTGCTTCAGATATAGAGATAGAAGTAAAGCAATAAAAGACATGAAGTAATTAAAAGTGAAATTCTTTGCTAAATAATTAAGCACATGTAAGTAGGCATTATTCTATCTCATTTACACCATCTTACATAATCGCCATCGGTGACAACTTTGTTCTCATTGATATATTGTCCACTGTACTTCATTCCACCAATATTTCGAATTGCGAAATCCCAATTTGCTAATTTCAGAAGTAATGTTATTCCATTACCTAATGTATCAAGTTGTGGCTTATATAAAATCCTAAAATTTTTTGCAAAAGTAATTATTCTAGGAAAGTCAAAATCTGCATTAAAATTTTAGAAAAAATTTTTAAGTTCCTGACAGATGCTAGAAGAAACAATTAGCCAATGTGCAAATATTTGAAGATATTTAAAATTCAAATTGGACGGGAAATATTTATAGTTGAAACTGGACAGGTGTATAATTTGGAGTAATTAATTAAAACTCTTTTAATTAGGCTAGAGAAAATTTGAACATATCCTTTGAAATGTTTAATTCCATAACCTTTTAGCAACAAAAATATTATCACTTTTAAAACATCCATGAATAATATTCATTTGATGTATGGAACGCAAAATTTTCATTAAGTCGAGAACTATTATTGCAATTATTAATTCGTTTAATTTTATATCACCAAAATTTTGAACTTTTATCAGTTCCTGAAATTAATCACTACTGAAAATATAAGCAAATGTAGCAAGACCTATCTAAAAAATACCATCCTACTATATATATTTGGATGTAAGAAGGTATTAGCGTGATGGTTGATAATAAATCACACTTTTAGATGCAAAATGATATGAATGGACACTAAAGGATTATCAACAAAGAAGCGTAAAAATGTCATCCGATAAGATCAATTAATTAAACAGATTTTGTCGGGAGTGAATGGACAGTTGCTATTTTGTGTCTTTCTTGAAGTAATGAAATTATGTTATTGTTATTGGTCATTTAAACCTATTACGTGAATAATTCATCGTAGAATTTGTAAGCCTAAGCTTGTATGATTTAATTCAAGCCTGGCGATTGGCTTGAAATAGAATTTGCCTTGCATTCTTCTCCATTTCTAATTTCTGTATTTCAAATCCTCTCAGGATTTTCCTAACTTTTCACTAAATCATCATACCAAATCTTAATTGACTTACTTTTAATGTTCCGGCTGTAAATTCTTGAACAGTCAAGCATTTGTCAATAAATGTAAAGCAGTGATATATTTGAATAATTCCCGAGATTAAACGTCTTTCTTCTTTTACATAGTTATAAATATATGCCTCCCAATAGCTTTGATGTTTTGGACGTATCTAAAATTTTACTACATTTCAAAGAAAATTAAAACAAAAAGTATAATCGTTTCATTCATTTTTTAAAGAAAAATCCTCTCATTTGAAAGTTATCCCAAAAGTTGAGCGAACAATCGAAATATGGCTTACTTTTAAAATAAAATAACGACTGGGAATACTTTTAATAGAACAAACATAATTTAAAGAACCGTTTGAAGTTTGTTTCGGAAAAGATAATTTATGAAACATGAAATTGAATGGTGGCATCTTTCTCTGAAATTTGCAAACACGATTGACGCCACCCTAATTAAATTTGTAAAAAATCTTCTGAAGGATTCAAAGAATTTATTTGCTTATTGCTTACAAATTTTCAAATAGCAATAATAAATCTCAAGTTTTATTGGCAGGCTTTAATAGGACCGGCTAGTAGTTTCTGTGACAGTGACAAGTCCGCCTGCCCGAACATAACCATTTATTCGTTTGAGATATGCGTCATTCAACTATTTCACTTAATCTACTGATTGATTTCATAAATTACTTGGTGACGATGACATATGTCATGCAAAAAACAATGCGACACATACTCCTCACAATAAAATGTTATTTCTTAAAATGTGCATTTAAATTTTTCCAAAAGCTAACATTGTAAAATTTTATAAAATTTGGCACTTTCATGTTATTCATTAGTTTTGCCTGCTGTTGTATATTCCACGGATACACAGATGTTCCGGTTATTTCAGTAACGGTAGAAACAACACCACCGTTCCGGTTGTTGCTCAAAATTAATTCTTCTTCTTTTATAACAAATTGTCTGAAAATTTTCAAATGAAAACTTTTACAATAATCCAATGATTAAATTGAAAATCATTGGAATTTCAACTGTCAAACTGAAATCAACAAAAATTTCTTCCAAATAATTCTCTATCAGAGAATTGATTCCTATCATTAGCTTCTGCAATTTGTAAACTTCCGTCTTCTCTTTCTCGTATTGCATAAGATTTCGTAATGAGAATTACGGGAAAGCAGATGACCTTTTTCTAATGCTAATTGCGCATTTCGGTCTGGCGTTCATTTTTTCCGCTTTGATAAGAATAGCTCGGACAAAGCTATGATTGTCATCACAACGTCGCGCCCAACAAATGTAAAAGTCAGCTAATCGTGTAAATATTTTGTTATCGTAGAATGCACTGAACATTTTCAGTGCATTTGTATCACTTAAAAATTTCATCTGCAACAAATATGACTCATTTTTATTGACATTATTTCAAATGAAATGCAAAATTTTGATTTTTTTTTCTCGAGAATAAAGTATTTACAATTAATCGTTCTGATCGATACATTTTAGTCAAAAATGATTAAATTCCAATTGAACTGAGCAAAAGTCCAATTGCCGAAATTTATTATGAATTTAAAAACTTCAAATTATTATTTTAAATGTGTCTTTTAAGATCTTTTCCGAATTTATATTTCCAGTAAAAGTTTTCGAATCAAAAGGAAAAAAACTGATAACAATAAGAATAAATTAAAATATATTATTTCACACTAATTGATGTATTCGATTGATAAGCGATGATGACAAGAATAATGATAAGTGTTAACTTGGCAAATATATAAAGATGTTTAATATATTATTTCAAAAAATTTAAAGAACAAACGGCAAGTAGGAAAATACGGAAACATCGATCATTGTTACGATATGTTTCATGCTTACAAAGGGTGAGTAATTTTGTTAAACTTGGTTTCGCTAATTCGAATAGTTCACATTCCGTTGCAATTTCATGCAACTGTGAAATATGCCTGTAATTATGGTTGAACTGTGGTTTATCTTTATTTTTTTCGGTGAAGTAAATTAAATTTGAAAAAAATTAATGTTTATTTTAGACTATTTTAGGCTAAAATTCCAGCAACTAATTTAATCTGTGGTTCTCTAAAGAAAGGAAAATGATGAATTTCAGAAACAAACCTTTGAAACAAAGTTAGCGGATCAGCTGTTTCATCGATTGGTGGCAAAGATCGAGCTAAAGATTTGAGGTTATGTCTGAAGTATGCAGATCAATTGTACAATTATGAGTTTTGCAAAAGTATTAATCGATAATGTCTGTTAAATGCGATTTTATCAATCGAAGAGTTCAAAAAATTTCGATAATTTCAAAAATCTTTTACCTTTCATGGAAAGCAATCGTCTGGTTTTGGTACCAGCTGATCGTTCAACCATATCATCTATCTGTCAAACTACACAATGATTAAATAACACAGCTACCATCATTTACCATAATATGAAATATTTCATAGTATGCAAATTTCAATAATCCACACAAAATCCAGAATCTGCAGATTTCGATCTTTACACTACTCATTCTAGTATTCCTGAAAGGAACTATTAAAACGAGCATATAAATAGTTTATTTTAATAGATTCTTTTATTTTTTCATTTATGTTTCTGCTGTGGTTACTTATTATTGGCTTATTTCAAGGTCCACTACTTTCGCTCTTCCGATTTTCACCATATCATCCAAATTTTTATCATAATTTTACAACGGAAGAAATTGATTTGCATAAATTTTTAAAAAGTCTTAAAAGAATGTTTGGCCTTTTTTGTACTTAAAGATCCAAAAAGTTCAAATGAGAAAAATATTTTGCTTTTTTTATCGCATTATGCAGTAAAATAGCTCAAAAATGATGTTTAAACCTTTAAATTACTGATAAAATTGGTATCACAATTTGCGATCTTTATCTGAAATCTTTAAGTAAGCCAAGAAACATTTCCATATTAGCCTGCTTAAGGCTTGTTACATGAAAATAGGTTATCAATAAGCGATACATTGTTCGAAAGGAAATTTTTTACAGTTAAAATTTAGATGGTAAATGCAGAGGATTCGAAAAAATCTCAGAAGATGATAATCTCGCAATAGTGACTAATTGCCGATCAATATATAAAAACAGTAATCGTACCATTAAACTCCAGAAAAATAAACCTCTGTTCAAATTATTAGGTGGAACGATTGTCCCATCTGCTGATTACGGTCATTTAGTACAAATAATTCACATTAGAAACATAATCGATGGAGAAGCAGGTCAAATTTACAAAACTTTTTTCGAAATAACTTTTAAATTTCGAAACTGTGTTCAAAATTTCATAACAATTCATATTATCCTTTGATAGGACAGTTTTGTATTTTCAGTTGTTTTCATCATTTCTCATAATTCATTTAATTCTAACATTTCCTAATGTTGAATTTTATTGGAAGGAAATTAAAATTTGACCCGAAGCCTTAATTCCTTGATTATATGAAATTTTAAATAATTTGACACTATGTAACATATGCAAATTTTTATAATAATTTACTAGCCAACGATAAAGATTTTTACTTAAAAAGATTGGAAAATATGCAAAAGTTGTTGTTCAGATGTTACTGTTTGTTCGGGAGTTATTATCACTTACCGTCATATTATAACAGCTGCTAGTTGTTTGGAATTTAATGAAAAGTAAGATTGTTTTTTTTTTTCAAAAATGATAATTACATTGAAATTATAATATTTTTCAAAAATCAAAAAACTGAATTAATAACTGAAAAAGATTGAAAGGAACTGGAAAAAATTTTGTTGATTCGTTTTGAAATATCGTAATTTGAAGTGCAAAAAATTAAAAAAAAAGATTTTGTTCTCAAAAATACCAAACATTTAATTTATTTTTAAATGATAAATTGAAAGATTTCACTTTCATTTATCTCTTTCAATTTCCTATTCAACTAAAATTTTATTAAGCTTTTTTCCAACTTCTTTTATCTCTTAATATTAATGATAATTTCAATTACGTATACAGGGAATTCTCATATTTCATTTTGCAGCGGTCTGAAAAATACACCTGTTAGTGAATTTAAAATTTATGGTGGCGCATCTTGTTTGTACATTAATGAAGATGACAAAAATATCTATGATAATGTGCCAAGATTTGTGAGTCCTTTTCCTGTTATTGTTTCAACAATTTCATTTTTAACTCATCGGGATGTTTCAAACCAAAGTTTAGAAATATATACCTTATCCCGGTCCTCTGTCCAGGTCTCCTGAACTATTCTCATAGAAATAATGGGATTTTTTTTTAATGTATGATATTAATTCAGGAGTGTCCAGATAAAAATGAAAATAGGCGGAAAGTGATATCAATTAAACCGCTTGCATTACTTGTGCCAATGTCATCGATAATCAGTAATGTCGCTTCTGTAAGTCCCTCTTTCTTTCATTGAAAAAAAAATTCACAAAACTAAATTAGCTGCTCAGTATACTTATCCAAGAGCACTTCTAATAATAATTGATAGTAAATAATCGGTGCTATCAGTTTACCTGAGTACAAAAAGGATCAAGGAAGGTTAATAGCTCAGTAATGATTGAAGTTTATCTAAACATCCTAGGATTGGATAAATATACTGATATGCTATCTCTAAGGCTAAAACGTATTCCAGTTTGTTTAGCAATTATGAAAAAATTTTGTTCTTCATGATAATATCGCTTCTACTTCCAAACGGAATTTACTGAATTCACTGATGAGCTTTTAATTATTTCGTTGCCTAAATTAAATAATTAAATTTAATACTAAGCTAGTTTTAATTCAATGAATTTTACTTTTTAAATAATTTTTATCAGAAATTAAGGAAATAAATAAACAGTTAAAATGCTGTACGGCAGGTAGCTTTAGTATCATGAATGATAATTAATTAGCTTCACTTAGTAGTTAATTAATGACACTCAACTAAATTTGAGTGAAAAGTAATTTGTGCAATTTACTGCAGATTCGTGGCGTTCCCTTCTACAGAGCATTTTCGGATATAGCAATATTCGAAGTGGAACCTATAGATAAATTAGTAAATGAATTAACTGAAGAAATTGAGTATGACATTGAGGAAGAGGTCAATTTCGATGTGGCATGCATATCGGAACCGGAAATTGGAAATGAAGAAGCTGTTTATATCATTGCTTCATTCGGGCGGAGAAGTGAATTTTCTTCTTATTACACTTTGATTAACTTTTACCTGAATATTTTCCTTACGCGATGTTACGTGATTGACAGCACGTAATCTTGTAAATTTGCATTGCACAGATTTCTTTCACAATTGCAAAATGCCAATTGTCACGTTCCACATTATACTATAAACTGTTACAAATTCCAAATTGGGAAAAGAAAAATTTAGAAAATTTGTTACACGGGAAAGACGATAATCCAATTAATGTTAAATTAAATATTCTATTGGAAAATAATGTTTACATCGATAAATGTCCGGCAAGTATTCCATTGCCAGCATGCGCAAACATTATGATAATTGAAAGTGAACAAGCTGCCACTGAGGTCTGAAATGACTTTTTTTTTTTTGGATTAAAATCTATGTATCAGATATCGTCATTAGTAAGTAAATAAGCTATTCATATTCTGACCATTGAGTAGCCAAAAGGACACATCTGAATTTATGTTACGTTAAAAAGTTTATTGAAATTAAAAATTCGATATTTTACTCAAAGATTTCACATTGATTTTATTTCATAGAAGATTTATAAAAAGAAAAAAAGAAGAAAACTTAAGGGTGATGGTGGTGCTGCAGTTATGAAAGAACTACAAAATCGTCCGGTTTTAATAGGTGTTCTTTCGCTTCGGCAAAATATTGGAAGAGCTTATGTATGTTTAAAAGTAGATTTCTCACCTTATACCATCCCGCACATGCTGAGTTTGACCATCGAGAAATGTCTCAATAAATTTTATTCGATTGATAAACTAACTAAAAGACAGGGAATATTGTTAAGCGATTACATTTTCCATCAAAATTTGATGTGATCTAAAAATTTTTTTTTTAAACTTTTATTTCTTTTTCCTCCTTATAATTTTAATTGACGTTTGATCAAATCTTGATAATGATCATTAACTTCTTCTCTCTTGGCTAAATCATTATCATCCTTTATCAGCAATTTCCATATTTTTCCTAAATTAGAATATATTTTTAGACAAAGTATATGTTCGCAACACGTATCAATGAATTTCATGACTTTTTTTGCTATTATGTTGGTATTTGCATATATGAAGAATTCATAGAGAAAGAATATTGGAAACATCCCGAGGAAGTAATCATTATCACAGATAAGATTGGAAATGATACCCTTGGTGTGGGTATGTTATTATTGTTAGATCATCCATTTTCTTCTTATCAATGCTAAAATATTTAGTGATTTTAGAAAGGAAATTTCAGATATTTGAAGAAATAACTTTATCATTGTTTATTTAATTATTGTCGCAAATCCTATCTAAATTTTATGACACAGTAAAATAATCAAGCAGTAGAGGAAATGTAGTAGTAGTGATAAGCGTATAGTTCTGATTTAACGTAGTTATCATCTTTCTAAGATTGATTTGAAGGACGACAATAAATGATATCAGCAAAGCTTTTTAATATTATTAAAAAAGTGATAAGAGGGAAGGCGGACATTATGCAAATGCGCTTTAAAAAACTCTGTCACTGTTAAAACTGATTGGTTTGATTGAAAGAAAGGTGAGAATTATGACCGATAGTTATGCTTCTAAATATTATTGTTATGCTAAGCTTATATATAAATAAATTCAGTAAAGTGGCGGCTTTCATTATTTTCCGCCTTTTTTTTTTCGAATAATAACATGATAATTTTTGATCATTTTATTGATATATCTGAGCCTTTTTATAATTCTTTCCTATCAATGAATGCATATGTGAAATGTAATAATTGTTTGAAGCAATTAACATTGAAATGTATTTTATACAAATGCTAAAATTTAATTTTGATTAGTTTCAATTGTTTTTAAGCCTTAACTAATGATCAATTCTATGGAGTCTCATTTCCCAGCGTCAAATAATTTTATTTCGAAAAATTGTTAATTTAATTTTTTGGATGAAAAATTATATACAGTATAGGGAGTAGTATAGCATAGTTAACTAAATTTTAAAAAAATTAAAATGATGAAATTTATTTCCAGTGGATATTGACAATATCGATTTATTCAAGAAGACATTTACGTCGCAAGTAACAGATAATTTTTCAATTTGTAGATTTCAACATGTCACTTATTGGTTGTTAATTTTTTCAATTATTCTTGGAAATTATCAATTATTTAATTTGTAAAAAATTTCAACTCTTTCATGTGATATACATTCAATAAATCGTATTTTTCATGAGAATGCCGATGAGGACAAACATTCGATTTTTTTTTTTTGAATTCGTAAACTGTGACCTATAAGGTTTCAAAAATTAAATCTTTTAAATAAATTAGTAAAACTGAGCAATGTGTAGATTAAAGCCAGCAGTAAAGATCAATTGTGACATCCTTCGTTGCCCTGTCAACAAATAACATTCAAGCTTCTTTAAAAGGCCACTTTTCATTTTTTTCTTTTTCAAATCTAAAAAAAAACTCCACTCCTTACTTCCCACGCTATTGTCCTTCATTGTCCACTTCATTTGTCGGCATAGCGATTCATAAAACTTATGACATTTTATCTTAATTTAAAAAAAAATATTCTTGCACCTGAAATTTGAAAGGATTTTTGCTTCATACTTCTTTCGACTCAGCTAATAATGTTGAATATCATTGTAAATTTTTTTAATTATGAGTTTATGATTTTGCACATTTCGAACTTTTTTAATCATTTCGCTGATTCATCAACACTAAGTTATATAATCAGTAAGAATGTTAATCAACAATCATTTATCCTTTAAGCTTGGTGATTAATCAACAATCATTTACCCTTTAAGCTTGGTGATATGAAAACAGAACTTGAACTTTATTTCAGTAATCTAGCTATTAATTGAATTTGATTTTAATTATCTAATTAGCCAATTGTCTGGCATTTATTTGAAATCATTATTTCATTATTTTCATCTGTGATTGGATAATTATGTAATTAGGAAGATTGCAATATAAAGAGGGTGGAAGGACAGATAAACAGATCTCAAACAAAATAACCATTTATTGCATTTCGAGAAACTATACATTCTCCTGGAATAAAACTATTTTAATTAGGTAAAAAAAAAGGAAATGAATGGTCACATAAGGTCAACAGCACTATCCATTGTATTGTATTCATTTGGATAGGGTGGTGCATTCTCATCGAGAAACACGTAATCAGTTGACAAGTCCACAATCATTAAGCTGATTGGCTTATCAAACTTAATTATGATCTGAAAAATAAGGCATATAAACACTGAAGAGAAAATTTGTCCTTTTTTTTGTTATTCAAAGGTCGAAACAAAAAATTAAACAACAGGGGACAACTGTCATTCATCATAATAGAACTGGCATGGACAATGCGACGAACACAGTGCAATTGTCTCAACTCATCTATTCTTGCTTTAAATTTTTACCATTACTTTGAACTTCCAAATTTTAGGCTTTTAAAATGAAAGGGCTAATTTTAAACAGGCAATTACATTTTGACAGCAATTGGCCAAAAGTAATTCGATGATTTTAATGCAAGCCCAAAACCATGCAATGTATTTGGAAATTTTCCATTCAAGCGGAAAAGGTGCGCCCAAATTTCGTAACATTTTATTCGTACCATTCCAGTTGAAATCAATAATAGTTAGTGCTAAAAGTAGAAGGAAAATTGATAATTTTTAGTGCTTATTAATATTTATCAAATTTGTAATAAACCTTGAAAGCATTATCGATTTTTTAAATAACCTTTGTAAAATTAATAATTTATTCTTAATGAGAAATGTACAGGTGTAAGTTTAATTATTCCAATCAGATTGGTAAGAATAGAAGAAGAAAAGTTTCATGGAATTGATTATGCTGAAAGCTTACAGACAGAAATGATAAGCCAACAAATGAGCCCACAAAAAAGTTGAACTGCTAACGATGATTCGTCCTTTTCTGTTACAATTTCAAAAATATGCGCGCACAAAAAGAATATAGTTATTATAGCACCAACTATTGGTATTAACAAATGAGCTGTAATTATAGAAAATGTATTTATGCAAATATTTGAACTTGAAATAAATTAAAATTTAAGCATTTATAAACATATAGAAAGTAAATTATATCATAACCAAATCATTTTATTAACACATAAACTTTACTGTTTGCGCTTTTACTGTCCAAATCATTACCATTACTTAGGTAATTAATGACACTTAGATAATTAATGATGATTTCCTGTTCTATTTTTTTATCGAAGAATAAGATAATTAGCTCAGGTTTATCAACTATTGTTTCTGATGGTAATTAACCATTGATCATCTTGTTTTGAGGAAATCATTTAAACTATACCGGATCCTAGTTGCCCATTTGCAGTACCAAATCGTTCACGGAATCCAAGCATTGCACAAATACTGTTAACACTAGACTTCTGATAATGGTATTCATGTCTGGAATATGGTTATTTTTAAAAAAAATTTTGAAATGAAAAAAAAAAACAAATTACAAATGATTTATATTATGTTTAAAAATCTCAATTTATTAATTTGCTGATTGATTCCCCCCTCAAAATGTTTGAGAAAAAAACATTATGGTGCAAAAATAACTGAATATTTAGCCAAGTGATGTTATCAGTGCCATCATCAAATCGTTGTAGAATCTGGACGATTGTATCATTTTGAACCAATTCTAGATGTTCCTGCAAGAATTCATTATAACTGCTAGGCTTTTCAATCCTTTTGATATCTTTATGATACTTTTGCTCACTGATCACATGAATCCTAGGCTTTTTTTTTCTGGACTACTTCCATTTAACTTCAAATTTGTCACCTTCATTATGCAATGCTTTTCATCCTTGAATAGTGTTAGATAAAATAAGCATGATACTTCCTAGATTGAATTTTAAAATGGGGACGAAAATTGCAAAGTATAAGAAATGTGAAACAAACGTGTAATTCTAGTGCGCATTGCTTATCATTAATGTAAGCTTCCTCAAGTTCAATATCTGTTATTTCTCGGCAAATATATACTGGCCAAAGCATTAATACTAGCATGATAATGGCTGCTGTGCATAATTCAAATGCATGCGGCACAAGTAGAACATGCATTTTCTTCATTACCTGAAATATTAAAAGTAACTCTAATTTTTGAAGAAATGATTCATTTACCCAACAAATGTCTTTGTTCTCTCTGGTGACACGTAACCTATGACATCGTCTGATATGTATGACAAGACTGCATATGACTACTTGCATCATCATTATCATCAAGTAATCGTTCATCATTAAAAAAAAGGTAACTTCTTAAAATACGTTATTTGCAAAATTATTATATCAATGATAGATGTTACTCAAGAAAAGGAAACGATTTATATGTCCTGAAAAAATCTCGGAAAATCTCGGGATAACACTTTCATGCATTATAAATTCTCAGAATGTTTTCTTCTGGAAATCTATAGTACATGAAAGTATTATAATGTTTACCCCGTTTATTTATCCCGAGATTTAAGCGAAATACTTTAATGAATAAATAATTCCTTTCATCGTTAATTAAACAAAAAAAATGGGAATAACAACCACTAACAAACCTTCAACACTACTAAAAATTTTCAGTGATGCATGTTGGAATAATTTTAATTATTTTATTTCTTAATTGAAGAAAAAATTTGCATATATCAATATATCCCAATTCACTTTTGAAAAATTATAACAAAGTAATTCAACATTTGGAGCAATTTGTGATGTGGACAATTTATTGGCGCAAAGAGGATTCAGTGATCATATTGTCGCGATATTCTTGTTGATCTGAGGATTTCATGGTGTTGAAGTTTGCGCATATGTAATTCAGATTCATCAATTATGTGGGAATTGTTAGATGGAATGAAGTTTGAACTAATTTAAAAGTCTAACGCTGACTTATTTTGATATCTCAAAAGTTTTCCAATGTTATCAATTGTAAATTGAATTTTAGACATTAGAAAACTTAACAGATAGTTGTTAATATCGCCAATCGTGGAAATGATTAGGGAATTGATTTGACAAAAAACAAAAGTCAAATTAAAATGTAGAAAAAAAATTGAATTAAAATTTCAATAATTAAACTAAAATGTAAGCGAGGGATAATTTTACTGTGGAAGATTTCATTTGAGCTTATTTAAATTATTTCTATTTTTGGACTAATATTACGTCTTTTAAGGTATATTCAAAAAGTTATTCATAAATGATTATTGTAAAATTACAGAAAAAAAACTTTCTTTTTTGCAAATCATCAAACTTTTCTAAATGAAAATGTTATAAAAACAATTGCCTTTCTGTTTCAAACTGATTGAAATGAATAATGAAAGCATTCAAAAAAAAAAAAAAAAGAAAGAAAGATTTTGGAATTTTTCCTATTTCAATGGTAAACAATTAGTTGAATCGTTCCTAAAATCAAATTTCATTTCCACTGAACAATTATGAACAATTTTACTTCTGTTAATGTTAACCAAATAGCAAAAAAAAAAAAAGAAAAAAACATTTATTTAATTTAAAACATCGATCTTATTCGAATTTTTGAACTGTTTAAGTGCGTAGAATAGAAAAAGGTATTTATGAGTTGAAAAGTTATAATAATTTTCAATTGTTTTTCATCCATCAATGTTCTCATTAATTTACCACTAATTAACATTATATTTCTAAATGTTAAAAAAAAAATGTAAATTTCAGAAATTGTTAAAGTGATTGGCTGATTCATATCAACATAACCAATGTCATTAGCTATTGGAAAAGAGACAGTGAAGCTAACAGCATTTTATCGTTTTTTATTTTCTTCTGAAAAAACACTCTTTGTTACCGCATGTTTGTTTGCTATTGAAGATCGATGAGAATGATTTTTATCTTGGCCAACAAATGCAATATAAAATAAAATTGAGGCACTTGGCCAAAATACTATTTTTTTTTTTTTAAAGAAATACATTTCAACGAGTAAATAAATCGAAGCATTTTTCTTCACTTTTTTCATGACAATATGTATAACTTTGATGAAATTTTAAATTCATTAATGTTAAATAAGCCTTTATCATATATAAGAAAAAAAAAAAAAAAGAGCAAATATTATTCTCTCTTTTAGGATATGTTGATGATATTCAATCTTACATTTATCATCTTTTCCTTCTTTTTACCCACCATAAAGTGACATCATTAAAGCTGAACTTTTTTTTTCTTTCCTTTTTTTTTGCACATTTATAATTCCCAGGACTATTTACAATTTCAAAATCTATATATATTATTAAAATTTATCTAAATTTTCAATTTAACTTTTTTACATGTTGTGTTTAGTTTCACAATTTTATCATGAAGGATTTGTTGATCATTTATGTCACATTAATTTTTGTTTAATCTAAGGAATAGGATGGGATGGATGTCTAAATGTCACATTTTATTACTTACTTTTATTCAATTGTTGCGCTCTTTATTGAGCCTAATAGGATTCAATTCAGTATTGATTAAAATCTCTTTATAGATTTAAAGAATATGCAGAAAAAGTGATGAATTCTTGTAGCTTAGCGAAGTTTTATTTCAGGTTATTTATTACAGTAATTCATTGAAATGCTCTAATAAATTACACACTCTTAACCCTTAAATTTATCGTAATTTTATAGTTTAATTCATAGAATCATAAATTGTCAAAGTTCAAGAAAATGTTGCAAAGTTGTAATTTAATTGAACGCATCATATCTAAATTTTTTAATGAATTACTTAATATTTTGAATAGTTGAAGAGTGGTCAAATGAAAGACATTTAGAAGAATTTAGAATATTACCACTTGAGATTTGAACCAAATATTGAACGATGAGTGATGTTAAACTATTTTTCCTGTTCGATTTCTGATACATGTTTTTAAAACAATAATGAGAAAACTTTCCTTTGAATACACCAAGTCTTCTTACGTTTTATAATTCTGATGATATCTCCGACAAATGACATCAACAATTAACTTTTCAAATAGATTCTCGAAAGGTAGTCGCCCAATTAATTTATCAAACCTGTCAACTTGTCAACTATTCCAAATAACTTTGTCATACCTTCTTTCTTTGCTCTTTGCTCTACCGTACATTTAAGAAATATTACCTGAGAATATTGTTCACATGCACAGAGACAGAACACCATCAAATAGTTATCTCCCTGATAATATCGCTCAATTGCATTTTTGTTATGTTATCATCTAAGCAATAAAAGTTTCCTTTTGGGAAATGAGAAAAGTGGAAAAATTCCATCTCAGTGGGCATCTATCTATTTTTCTTGAAAAAGGGCACATTTTCAAATTCTCTTTCAAGAAAAAAGAGGATTTAGGAAACCTGAAATTGGCGAGAAGAAAATAAAATTAAATTAAAAAAAATTAAAATTGCCAAATAACAGATGCTTTTTTAAATCATTTTCTCTCCATTAATATTTTTTAATCAAACATAAGCATGAGAAATGAACTGATGAGACAGTTGAAAAGTGGACAAAGGTATCAATCGAAGAACATTTCCACTTTTTTGCACTTCTTGTTTACATCAATGAAGTCACCTAACTCTACAGGACGATGAAAATATGTAACATTGATGATGTGTTGTTATTTGTGCATTGCATTTCTTTTTTAAATCCCTTTACTGAAATTGAATTCATTAGATCATATCTTTTCTGTCAATGAAATTAGATGCATTATTGATCGCATTCGATCATTTATGATCAACAGCTGAAACGCTTAGATGTACACTTCCTGAATTATCAGTAATGATAGCTGATAAGAAATCATGGCATATGACAATTCTTTTTACTAATTTCATTTCCTATTCAATGTACAATTTATGGATTTAAAGTAGCCCTGACCACTTAATACATGACCATTTGATAATACAGAAATTTATCATGCTATGATTAGTTCAAAAGATCAACCATATTGACATTAATTAACCGATATTGGGACAATATCGAGTTAGAAAAAAAAATGTCGCCAAATATTTTCATTTACCTTATGAAAGATCGAATTTCAAGCCTTCATTCAGTTTCGATCGATTATTCGATAAGGTAAATATTCTCAATAATATTATTTGAATAATTATTATTTGTTCTAAATGAAACGCACATTTGAAATTAATAAATTTCCTGCATTATGCATTTTTATTTAAAATCATTTTTTTTGCTTTTGACTAAATTAATTTCCTTATATTCATTTAGGGTTTACTATTCAACTTTAGGTTGCATTCTAGGCCATTTATTTCGGACAAATCGTTTGATTTATAATAAATGTATACTGGCTTAGATACTTGTCACAAACAAACATCCCTTGTATTAACAAAAAGCAGCCAATACATCAATGTAATTTTTAGTTCCTTCCCGACTTTTAATATTTTCTTCCAAAAAAAAAAAATATTTCTTTCGAAAAAAAAAATCCATATGATTCATTCCGAAAGTCTTCCCATTTCCGTAATCCGATTGGTTTCACCCAATTTGATTATATTAGTTCCAAGATTTCACCAGTTCTATAAACCATTCGATTTATCCGGAAAATTCATATTCCGTTTCAAAATCAAACACTGAAACTTTTTTCCCGGAAAATATTTGTGATTAAGATGCACAAAAAAAGTTCCATACTTTCATTTCTTGTAAACAGAAAGGAAATGTGAAACAACAAAAGCAGGAAACGATAAAGAAAGATGTCACAATAAGACAGGATTAGGGAATGAATGGTACAAATGTAATAATAAAAAAAAAAAAGATGTGACAAGTGAAGTTTATGCAGATAAGAATATGTCTATCTAACCGGCACTAAATTAATTAAGGTAGTATGAAATTTAGACGTATCTTTACCTTGATTAATCAGACAATATTAATGATTTTGATGAAGGAGTGATAAGTTTGAGAGTGACAAGTAACAATTTCTCAAGATATCACCTATCTGTCAAGACAACTAGTTATTTCATTTTCTTTTAAAGCTCTGTATTGAATAAACTATTAAGCCAAGAATTTCGAAATCAGTTTTAGAATAAATCATTCAATCCAACTTAAGCTCTTTTATTCAACTCCTTCATTTTTACATTACTATCTATCTATATTCTTAAGTAGAATTTTTCCAATTAAAATTT